TCATTTTATACTTCTCTGTGCCAGAATGAAGGTATTGCGGCATACCAAGGGGAATTGACAATATCTGGAACGGCGCTAATTGGAACCGTTCTACATGTTGATTTTGGCGTGAAGCGACATTGCTTAATGAAGACTCACAAATATCAGATAGCAGTGTGACTGTCCGTAAATGTAAACCCTCGGAGATAATGAGTAACGGTTGTATCCAGGGACGACAATAGTTGGTCTTCTCTGGATACCTTCGTGTTCGTTATATTAGGGGTTGACTACCGTGGTAGTCGTTAAGGTGTAACATGGCGTCACACCAACGAACATGGAAGGCGTATATTTGCCCGTTGTCGGACGAATAGAGGAAGTGCAAGTAGTGTAAAAGTAGTCGTAGTAGCAATAATAGAAATAGAAGTAATAGCAGTGACGGTGACGGTGACGGTAGTAGTAGTATTAGTAGTAGTAGTAGTAGTAGTAGTAGTAGTAGTAGTAAAGTGGTAGTAATTAACGGACGTGGTAGAAGGTGGGGTATAGTGGTAGTGGTAGTAGCAGTAATAGTAGTAGTAGTAGTGGTGGTGGTGGTGGTAGTAGTAATAGAAATAGAAGTAATAGCAGTGACGATAGTAGTAGTAGTAGTAGTAGTAGTTGTAGTAGTAGTAGTGGTGGTGGTGGTGGTAGTAGTAATCGTCGCTGTTGTAGTAGTCAAAGTAGTAGTTGTGGTAGTAGTGTAGAAGTAGTCGTCGTCGTAGTAGTAGTAATGTTGTAGTAGTAGTAGTAGTAGAGGCAGTAGTAGTAGTAGTAGTAGCTGAGACGGTGACGGTAGTAGTAGTAGTGGTGGTGGTGGTGGTGGTGGTGGTGGTGGTGGTAGTAGTAATCGTCGCTGTTGTAGTAGTCAAAGTAGTAGTTGTGGTAGTAGTGTAGAAGTAGTCGTCGTCGTAGTAGTAGTAATGTTGTAGAAGTAGTAGAAGTAGCGGCAGTAGTAGTAGTAGTAGCTGAGACGGTGACGGTAGTAGTAGTAATGTAGTAGTAGTAATTGACGGACGTGGTTGTAGTGGAATTTAATAGTAGTGGCAATAGCAGTAGTTGTGGCGGTAGTGGTAGTAGTAGTAGTAGTAGTAGTAGTAGTGTGGTAGTGGTAGTAGTAGCTGAAGGTAGTAGTAGCAGCAGTGTTATTTTGGTAGCTGTGGGTAGTAACATGTCGACACCAGGCTATATCGTATAAAGCTAATCCCTGAACACACTTCATCTACCAAGGAACTACGAACCCCAACAATAAGAGAAAACAAGATACAGAGCACAATTGGATCTCCTGTACATCACCAGATCAAGCCTAGCAACGGCAGACAAAGTGGACGGTGGACGGCTCCGGAGCTTCTTTGATAACAGGGAGCGCATATTGCATAGCAGCAGGATACGCCTACACTCGCTTACCATAACGCACGCCCAGACAGAGCTGCGGCAATCATATATCAATTTGATATCAATGTAACTCAAACGTTAAAGTAACATTTTGGAGAAACATTCCGTCGGAAGGCCAAACTGATAAAGGTCATCATCATCATCACCATTATCATCATCATCATCATTATAGCAAATTCTTCCTTTTACTTTCAATCATTTGCCTCATTGCAATTCCAACCCCATGTGTATCCAAGACATAACCATCTCTCCATGCATTGGGGTTGGTCCCGGTTGTTTCCTATAAACCAGGGCTCCTGTATTCTCGGATTCAAGCTTTGTCGCAGAGTTCGGGTAAACATTGAGACTGGAATGTTTTGAAGCGATAACACGCGCAGGCTCGCCAAACGCTTGGAGATAGTGAATCAGGCTCGCGCGCCTGAAGAATATGGTCATGCACAGAGAAGAGTGACATTTCTCTTGAAACCAGATACGGCCATGTTGTACGTGATGGTGCGAGGCTCAAATAAGCACTTCAAAGACGCCATGTCGCTTATTTTAATTCCCTGGATACTCCCATTTCCCGAGTATGAGAGTTGCTACAGTAGATTTGTTACATTTCTCGTGTTCAAAACATATTACAAAATACGCCTTGTTTAATGGCGTGGAATAAAGGCACATGTGCGAACAAAGGGAGATAACTGTTGTGGTTTATTATCACTGTCGCGCAACATACGCAACAGCTGGCTTAGCGCACGTGCCGAGTGCTGACCCCTGACGGCAGATTCCAGCGATCGGGACAGATGAGCAGAAATATGAGATTTCAAAAAATACGATAAAACTTCCGTCTTTGTGAGGGCGTACTCGGTTCCGAGAGACGAGGGTTTTTATTTACGCAACGTTAACGCTTAAGCGTCAAAGACACGCCCACTGAAATGTTTTTAGTTAGGCTGTATGTGAATGGTATATTTAGAACCGTAATATTTTCATATGATTTTGATTTGCTTTCGCTTTATCCCTCTAATATTTGTTAAACACATGCCATATGATCACGTGGTAGCGTGAAATAGGTCAAGTTATGACTCATAACGATCTCAAAACAAAGACGTTCATTATTTACAACTATTTATGAGAAAAAAAGAAAGGTTACGTTAATTCACATGAGTCAAAATGCTCACAAAATATAATTTGTTAATTTTTTTATCGATACGACTTTAATGCGGAAATGGCAAAACGGAAATCTGACTAAGCTGCTGAAGCTATTGAATTTGACCAAAAAAATTCAAACGGAATCAAAACGTTACTAGGCTAAAAACAGTCACCTAAACACAGCTATGATACCCGTATCACATACATTACCATCGAATAACCATTGCTTGTTTGTTTCATATTTAGTCATCACCAAACATGTGTATATACGTTCTTTTGCCCGTCATCATCATCATCATCATCATCATCATCATCATCATTATTATAGCAAATTCTTCCTTTGTCATCACAGCAACTCAGGAATCGGGAACACCAAACTTCAATGACCCAAGCAATCCCTAACGAACAAAAGTTATATTTGCTGAAGTATTTCGATCGCATCTTATCACCGATCATGACACGGATCTCGGCATGTGCCCGATCGGTTCAGACTGAAAGCGTAGCACTAGTACGAAGTCGACTGTAAATGTAGAGGTCTGTGTTAAAAAATGTGAGTTATGATAGTCTTAGGGCTAAACTCGCTTTGTACACGTGGGTCTAGTTCGACCCATTTAACCAGACAATAGGGCGGTTGACTGTCCAACCTAATTCCAGTGTAATTTCATCTATCTATCTCTTTATCTATCCTAAAGCCATACTACATACGCCTATTCGCATATTCTCATGAACCGGTTCTGTCGATTTGTTCTTGGCGTATTAATTTCTACTTCGTTATAACGGTGGGAGAACATTTATATGTATTTGCAACACGTCCTATTTGAGTTCTGGAAAGGACACATAATCCAACTCATTTTTAATTTATTCAACTCATTTATAACGTTTATAAAATATTTCTCCCATTGTGTATTCAAACTATTGCTAAACTATATTCCTTTACGAACCTCTTCAATTTACACTTAACATTGAACTATGCCTTGAAGGGTATCGTGTTACCCATACGTAAACAAATCATCTCATCAGGTTTTTCTACTTTGATCGTTATATCAGTGTTTTGTGTGTGTTGCTCTTTTTCAGCGACTTCAACCAGGTGTACATGCATTGTGGGAAAACAGACAATTGCATTTTCATCTGCAACACGTAACTTAATCTGTGCATTATTTCAAGCATCGATGTCTTTTTGTACACCTTGCGAGTATTTCCCATCGTCAGTCTCATCTTCGGTAAGACAACTAAATGTTGAGTAGTTGTAAAGATAATATCTTTCTTGCCTGTCAGCGTTGTTATTTGTCGTGGGGAAGGTAACATGTTCGCTAACAAACGTTGGAAGTTGTAAAGAGAATAGCACATGTGGGTGTTGAAAGATTACGCTAAATTATTAACAGCTTGTATGAGAGGGGGAAGGAACAGAGTCTGAATTTCAGAAACGAACAGGAAAAGAACGGTTCCAGATGTTAAAGAGTTTTTTGTAGAGGGTGTCGTATTTTTGTTCATGAGACGAGTCCCATGATTCGTTATTTATCGAGACCTTTGGCATACGTTGGGAACATCTTCAGAGCATATATCAAAGAGTAATTCCACATAAGGACTGTGCATCGGTGAAAAAGTACTTAGATGTAAATTAAAAAACATCGGGAGGAAACGTAGAACCATAAATCGATTTTGTGCTTGTACATGTAATTAGTTATATCAGTGCGAGGTTTTAATATAAACATGATTTATTAACATAAGCATTCACATTAATTTCGTTAATAGAGAATGGTTTGAATAGGGAGACTTGGCACAGTGGTACAATGGTTCTACAAATACTGTCACGAAAGTAGATTTATGAGAAAGAATAGAAACTACATTAATCACGTTTTGGTATTAGTTTTTTGTGTGTTTTGGGCAGATGGGCATGGGCAGATGTGCTATTCATGCTTACGGAAATAGCAAACGTAATGAATACCAGCAGTTTTACAAAATGCCAGCGCATGCATCCAAACGGATGTTACACTCGGTAGAATTGCATAAAATGAATTATGTCACGTATGTGTTAGTACATTTCACGTTGTCAATTTCACGATGTCTAAGTTTAAGATCAATGAAAAAAATAATCAAACTATTCTCATGCAGATACTTGCGTTTAACAAAGTTCATGAAAACGCAAATAAAAAAGTACCAAATAATTATATAACAATGTCATATGGCGATCGCATTACGTTTTCTTTAATATTAAGACGCGTTGAGCGATAAGGCGTGTGCCTATGGGTAAAGCGGGACCTAGACATCCAAGCATGCATTCACGTTCTCACATAACAAGCAATGAATACCATTTATCCCGTGCAATAGGAGGAAACGCTCTTTGTCTACTGAACATGATACAAAACGGGTTCCTTCGCCATTTACTTTATATCAAAAATGCAAAAGAATTTAACAAGTATGACAAAAGTCAATATAAGTCAGAAAAAGTTCAGAAATCAACTTACGACATGTCTAAGCTGTCCGCTGTCGGTTTCACGGTCTCCGAGCAATAAGCCAGTCAGAAGCTAGCGTTCAACGTAAGCTTATGGTTATTTTTAGCAGTGAAGGGAAATCCCCTCTATTCAGGCGCATCACGTGGGGCATATACGCAATGTTTTTTTATGTATATTGACAACTCATTTGAAGGTAAACCTGTCATACAAGTCCAACAGTCAATAAGTAAAACCAGGGAACTTGATATGTTCCCCAACTTGAAACTGATATTGTTCACTAAAATTAAGTTCACGTGTGTTGTAGGACGACAGTTCACATACTGATTGTGTGGGGTTTCTTAAGATACATGTATCCGACACGAGATTTTATCAAGTGCCACGTAATATAATTTTGAAAGGAATGTTACTTAATAAATCTTTCATGTTGAGAACAGAAAAAAAACAGTCATACTGGTTTTGAGATCAGCATTATATTTTTTAATGGCGAGAGGTTAAATTTTTGTTTCCAACATAAACAGATGTCCAATGTCGTTTTACATAGATAAAAAATAACTATATTCTTTGGGCACTTTAATATAGTCTGCAAGAAAATGACGCAATATATTATTTTCTTAAAATGCATTTTTTCCGAAAAAAAGTTGCTGGATAATATCTTTTTTTAAATCTCACAAATCAGATCATTGGCTGATCAATCATGAAGCTGATATTAAACCATAATATAAATGCATCGCAATGGCGCACTACACTTCACTCATGGTATAGTTTATATACAGAGCTATGGTTCAGTTGTCACTGGTAATGTAGTTTGTACGTTACCTTTTCACCAGAGTCTATACAAACTATACAATTGAGATGAGTTCATGTCGCTCATGACATGACATGTCTCAAAGTAAGCTGAAACATGTTTTACATTGAGTTACCTGTTGTATTCAGGCTTTGTATTATATACTCATGTGGGACGTATTTTCAGTAATGTATGAAGTAAACAACATGGTAACAATGTTATGTGGAATCAAAAGGAGCCAAGGGACTTTCTTCAAGCAGTGATCTAGACTTGCCAAATAAGATAGACTTGCATGGGCTTTATTGGATATATTTGTTTCAGGGTCTGTATTACATATAAGCTGAATTGTTTGATAGGCATTACTTAGAAGTTGACGGATGACAAGGTAGACACAATTTTACGGATAACAACTTCTTTGATACTGTAAAAAACGACGTTTCGGTATGGATCTTATACCGTCGCAAGCATCACTGAATAAGGGACATTGTACCACATACATATACAGTAAAGTACGGTTATAACGAACTCAAAGGGACTACTAATTTTAGTTCGTTTTAACCGTAGTTCGTTATAAGCATATATACAGCATAACTACAGCAAATAGTCGGGACCAAAAAAGTAGTTCGTTATATCCGTCAGTTCGTTATAAGCGTGTTCGTTATAACCGTTGTTTACTGTAGTAGGTCGAGGATTAACAACTTCTTTAATCTCTAATAAGGATATATACCAAAACGTAATTTTTTACAGTAGTAAAGAAATTGTTATCCGTGAATATTGTGTCTAACCTGTAACTTATAACCTGTTGATACATATAGCCTGATATATCCCATGTACATGTTTTTTCGTGGTGTTCAGTTGTGAATACATTAGAGTGAGTGAATGAGTTGGGTTTAACGCCGCTTTTAACAGTATTCCAGTTATATCACGGCGTGTCAGCTTAATGTGGGAGGAAAGCCCGAAGTGATGCAGGTCTTAGACGTTTACCACTTCGGTGAAACCCACGAGCACGGGTATGGTGCTGACAAACCTAGAAACATAATCGGGGCGAACCGGGATTCGAACCTACAATCATAGGTTTCTGGCGTGCCCAAGGGACGCAACTCTGCGAATACACTAGAGACCATCACCGTCTGTATATATATCTGTGAATACATATTTTGTATATCACCCTGCCAGTGTTATATTAGTGCACATGACATGCACGTGTTAATTCATTTAACCTCGCACGCCCATAACCTCCACATCCACGCACGTGTCAGCACATAAGCGATGTAGGTGTTCATGCATATAAACATGCATGTATTAACATCCTTCACGTGAGAAGATTATTTATGGCTGCCACCTGTATTTCTTTAGCAGCTCAATGTTTGGACTACTGTTTAAAACTAACTTTGATAAAAATCAGAAACAAAATTCAGACAATTTTCCTTCCCGGTATAAGGTTTAATCACTGGCAGCTGTTGTTCGGGGAACTCAATACTCCTCAGTACCGCTGCTTATTTCAAACCGTTTAAACTATCTTAACACTTCTCACCTGTGACAAGGTACCGGAATTCACTGTATATATAAGTATTTTGTTTGTTTGTTATTTAACTCCGCAATTAGCAATAGTCTAGCTTTATAACGGCGGTCTATAAATAATCGAATCTTGACCAGGCAGTCCAGAGATTGACATCATGTGCATCGATCTACGTAATTCGGATATGATAACACCCATCAACCAAGTCATCCAGCCCGACCACCACTTCTTACGACAAGCATGGGTCACGCCGAAGACCCGGGTTCGATTCCCGACATGGGTACAATGTGTGAAGCCCATTTCTGGTGTCTGGTGTCGCAGGTGTGACTCATATGACGTGTAATTAAAATAGTCCTTGATATATCGCTATATCGACCTACCACGTCATTCGATAAATCCCATAACATGACCAACAGTGAATGTCCTGAATGTAAGTCAATATCTATTGCAACACTCGTGTTTGAAAGTGTACTGAAAAAAATAGCAGCTTCGAGGAAATGAGTTTCCCGAGAAATGCTGAGATAAATGCTTCGCCACAATGGGTAGACATGGCATGTGTGTGTCCAAGATTCAGCTCCATTACAATAAAGGGGATTGGCAGTCACGTAAACAATTTTGTATCCGTTTTCCGCAAGACGGCCTCGTTGTTAATCCAGCATACATTTGAATTTACTTTTATGACACAAGGTGTGTAGCATTTTCATCTTGACATTAGCGCCACAATCATACGTTATATTACACAATACAGGTACATGTTCTGATAAGATTGGGGTAATCCAGCACAACTACATCTGATGGAAGTGGGTTCGAATCCCAGACTCGCACTGATAATGGTTTGTGTGCACCATGCCCGTCTTTTTTTGGCCTTTTTTAAAACAATATTTATTTCCACTTGGTACAGTGAAAGGGGATTGATAAACAGGCAGAGCCTATATAAATATCTAAATATCTCCCCCATGCTCGTGTTTAATGCCTAGGTCCCGCTTTTTTCATGATTTTTCACAATATTAAGCTGACATGCCGCAATATATACGCACGAATGTATAAAATGGCGTTAAGTCCTACTCAATTACTAAACGTCCAGGCGAGTGAAAAACTACAGTTGGCATTCACTTAAAATTGGATTTGACTAAAACATTACAAACGTTACCAAACGTTACTAAGCCGAAAACAGTCGCCGAATCACTGCAACTTAAGGTCCAAAACATTACTATGATACCCCTATAAAATACATCACCACCGATTAACCATTTCTTGTTTGTTTCATTTTTTGCCGCATACAAACATGGATGTATACTTTCTTTTGCCCAGTAGTTTCGAATAAAGTATTTGTTGATGTTTCTCCCGACTTAGTGAATAACGGTTAAATATGAATGAGATGGGTAAACTTATGGAGGAGCCCTATGATAATTTCGGGCCGGAATTGGTACCCGGTATATCATGCTTGTCGCATGAGTCGATTAAAATGAGGATTGCTTGGTCAGGTTCTGTGACCTGATCTTACCACGTTGATCATGCCATCAACCACTGAATTACCAAGAAAGTCTCGATTGTAAACAGGTCACCTTAAAGCTTGAAGTAGCCGGTCAATTTCTTTCAACAAATTTAAGACAACCCTTTGTGAAAGTTTAATTCGTAGCTTTGCAACCACATGACCCCAAGCAAATGTATAAGATGTCTAAAATATCCATCAGCTGTAGTGTATTATGCAAATTATTTTGGGGGAATTTTTAAAAGTAATAAATCAAATTGTATTTTTTTTAAAAAGCCATGCAGAAGTATTTTTTGACTGCTGACTTAACGTCAGTACAGTTCATTTGTTGTGTGACAGCCTCCGTGGTCTAGTGGTAGAGCGTCCGCCCGGAGAGCGGAAGGTCCGGGGTTCGATCCCCGACCGCGTCATACCAAACGACGTTGAAAGCTGGTACTTGTTGTTACCCTGTATGGCGCTCGGCATTAAGGGGTTAAAGCAAGGACTGGTCGGCTCGGAGTCAGTATACTGTGTCTGAGTGGGGTATTCATGTTAAATTGCAGCATGGTATCTCAGGGAGCTAGCACTATAAATCGCCATCAGTCCGGACTAGTACAAGCAGCGACACAAACACACACACGTACATGCACGTCGCTATATAAGTGCAATAATCTTGGACGCGACGTTAAACCCCATTTCACCTCACCTCACACATGCGGGAACACGTTGAAAGTAGGGCTGAGATACACACAAGATCACTATTTGTACATATAAGTTCACCGGTTGAACATTACATTATAATAAGAACGGTTGTTCAACAAAGGCTTTTTCTTTGAAAACTGAATGCGTTTCCATAACGAAATTTCAATGAAGTCTTCGTATCACGAAATATACACCATGAATAGCTATGGTGAGATTGAGACAGGTTGGGGAATATGAAGGACAAGGAATAAGAAACATGTTATGATGCGACCCGATGTTACAGCAAGACATATCATGTTTGTGTGTCAAAGAAATATGATTTTATATGAGTTGGGTTGTAAAGAGGTAACTGGGTTTTACAATGTGTGTTCTGCGGTGCGTGGCTGTGTTGCAACAATGTGGTTTCCTGGGGAATCTTTCAGTTAAAGGGTGTATGAATAGCAGCTGCTTGAGGCTTCTCATTCATGAAACGTTTGTCGGTTTTCTATGGTCTGTTTAAGTGGACGATTTTGGTTAGTTGTCATTTTCTATGGGTCATCTGGTAAATTTGTGTTGGGATATTGAGTGGGTGGGTGGTCGTGCGGGTAGAGATGTCAGAGTGTGTATAGAGTGGAGTTCGAGCTGCTCCTTATAACCGCTCTTCGATCCTCGACACACATAATCAAACAAACACACACACACACAATGCGTTGCACGTCACATTTTAAGTGCAATAACGTGGAACGTGACGATAAACCCGATCTCACCTCACCTCACCTCACCTCACCTCACCTCACCTCACCTCACCTCACCTTAGACAGCTTTAAGACAAGAATGGCTGGCAGATTCACAATGTTATGTTCAAAACTTTTGAGTGTGATTTTGCGCCGCTTTTAACACTATTCCAAAATTATCACGGCGGGGTACACCAGAAATTGGCCTTTTACCCATATGGGGAATCAAACTTTTGGTGTGTCTAGACCACAAGACTACCTTACCTACCCTCACCCGTCAAAAGAATGCTTGTGTCGACCTGGTCACAAATACCACACCAACCCGTGAAGATTCCGGGTAGAATGGGTCTTCAGCAACCCAAGCTTGCCATAAAGGGCCACTATGCTTGTCGTAAGAGGCGTCAAAAGGGATCGGGTGGTCAGACTGGCTGACTTAGTTGATACATGTCATCATATCCCAATTGCGTGGATCGATGCTCATGATGTCATTCACTGGATTGTCTGGTCCAGATTTGATTATTTACAGACCGGCGCCATGTAACTGGAATGAGTGCAGCGTTGAACAACAAACAAACAAACAAACAAACAAACAAAAACACACACACTATACCAATTATACACACACTAACCCCGCTGAGATTCAGGCTAAGATTATGTACCCAACAACCTCAGCTAATCGTACATTTAAGAGACGACCAAGTCTGTCGTATGTTTATGCTCGGTGACAGCATGGGTCGTTTTTTACTTAACACTCATAGCGTTGTCCGACCCAGCTCGATTATTTATAGGCCGCCATCCTAAAGCTGAAATATTACCGAGTGCGACATTAAACAACAATAAACTACAACACATTCCCAGGCACTTGATCCACCTGTGATGATGACGTAGGGCGATTTCCCAGAAGAGAACTCTACCCGGAATTACAGTATACCCGAGAAGATAGGCCTTTAACGTGTTCTCAATCTTTCTGAGATCCTGGTCGTACATGTAATGCTATATATATTCACTATACATTGTTCAACCAGTGCCCAGCTGACATGGTAGAGGTGGCTCACAGTACAAAAACAACCTATCCGAATCCTCGAGAATTCGTAAATGCGTTTTGGTCAGGACAAATGAAACAAAATGATGTATTAACGCCAGACATGACTAAGACCTTGTTACGCGTGAAGCATTAACGTATACAGCCCTACTGATTCCTTTATTGTATAAATAATGTCATGCGAGCTAACGACGAACGTCAAAATGAATAAATGTACAATAAATACGAAGAGCTATGTAGATTGAAATATAGAACGGTAGAAAGTTGGATAGTGAGAGAAAGGTAGAAGCATAGGTTGTACAGGGCGTTGGGTACCCGGGCAGGCAATCAAGCCGTGTTTATGAGTCAATTATCATTCGGGGGCCGAATATATATTTAATTATCCCAATACCTATTACGTCATTCGAGTCAATAGAGCCGGCTAAAGGGGAGCAGATGGTTTGTTGTTTTACGCCGCACTCAACAATATTCCAGTTATATGATGGCGGTCTGTAAATAATCGGGTCTGGACCAGACAATCCAGTGACTGACCACCCGATCTCGTTAGTCGCTTCTTACGACAAGCATCGTCGCCTATTACGGCAAGCATGTGTTGTTGAAGACCTATTCTAACCGGATCTTCACGGGTCTCTCAGGAAAGGTTTAACGAGCAAAATGTTACACTCCTGGCGTGTCCGGGGCGGAAACCAACTGAAATGATTTTGGGAATCATGAAGGACAATATCAATAAAAAATCTAAACAATATTTAGGTGATATGAAAGCAGAGGTGGTGAGATATTCGGACATAAGGACTTATGGTTTTCTTACCTCCTTGATGGGCAGTATGCCTCGTCACATTATTAAGAAAAGATGTGGTCTGACAAAATATTGATCAATTTTACTGTTTTGTAGCTTAAAGTAAGCATTGTTTGTAGAGCAAACTTATTTCTAGGTCTATGACTTAATAAATCTATAATTTACAATGTTCTCATTGTAAAATCATTTCTGGTCGAACAATATGCAAAACCGTTTGTCCTCGTAATACGGCCGATTAGCAGATCAAAAATTAAGTGTCGCTTCTTGACTGTTTACACAGAAATAACACTGACACGGTTCATCAAGGCGATGACGACAGTGTCACAAGATAATCATGAATCTACCGAAGACAAAAATGTATACTTACACCATGCTGTCAAGTCGAAATCAACGTTCACATCTGCAATGAAGTCACGAGGTATTAATAATGTTATTACACAACAAACTTATACACGGGATGTATAAGATTACGCGATTAGTCCAGCGACCGTGACTACACATAGTACAGAGACTGGGTGCATATTACAAAATGCAATTTAAGCAAACACAAAATGAACTAAATACTTCACAGGCATATTGTTCCCTAAAACATGGTCGAAATAAAAGTCAAATAGAAACCACTTTTAATGTACCGTTTTTATAATGTAAATGTTATTAGAAATGTTAGTGATATTTCCTTCATGTGAGTCTGATTTAGAGGGGTGTTGGTTGGTTTGTTGTTTAACGCCACACTCAGCAATATTCCAGCTATATGACGGCGGTCTGTAAATAATCGAGTCTGGACCAGACAATCCAGTGACTGATATCACCACGCGCCACGCAATTGGGATCGATGACATGCTTCTACCAAATCAGCGAGCATGACCACCCGATCCCGTTAGTCGCCTCTTACGACAAGCATAGTCGCCTTTTACGGCAAGCATGGGTTGCTGAAGACCTATTCTACCCGGATCTTCACGGGTCAGATGGTTTGGTGAGGCTGGTTGTGTACGGTCCAACGTCGACGACGCGGGCAATTGCTCATGTTGGGCGTCCCTGGCGTCCCTGGAACAGACTTGATCCATAGACCGTCGTTAGGTTGTTTGCTGACGGTGGTGTACAGTTGTCAAAAACTAGCTGGTGCATGTTGAGAGATGGGCCCACGTAGACACATATGTGAATCATGTACAAATCTGTTGTTTAATTGCTGGTGCCAACACATTCTTCTGTTATTATGCTGCATATTTCCCACATGCTGTTGTGTTTGTATAATTACATATTTTACATTATGTCGTCGAAAGAGCGTCACGGGTACAAAAAAAACGGGTAATCAGATATTATTGGTGACGTTCATTTCACGCCGCTATGCAAACTTATCTGCTCATATCATCAGTTGTTGTGGAAATAGCACTGTCTTATTTATTCCGTCGATGGAAAACGAGAAGCTGCATGTCCAATTTGTTAATGGCGGGTGCAACTGTTTCACCGAGTTTCCTAGGAAATGGTCGATGTATATTTGAATGTAAAGTGTGAACCTTGCAAATAGCGTTAAGTACTGAGAGATTGTACGGTAACTAAAAGAAACAAAGTCTATTAAAAGCACGTGTCGTAAAACATGGATTCGTGTGGTTACAAAAAGTCCGGGTTACACTATAATGCGGACAATTACTTCAACCGCCGTTTCGTGTAGATGGAAGTGTCCACAATCTCATTAAAATCAGATCTTAGTTCTCGCTACCGCTAAACAAAGATCTGAGGACATCCCATTACGGGTTTACTTCACGACAAAACATTGTTCGATCATGACGTCATTTCTGGAAATACTAACATGTGCTCGCAACTTGATGACGTCGTAAATTGGTCCTCGCTATTTAGTAGAGAAGTTGACGAAATGTAGCAATCAGTAATGGGACCAAAGGTCCAGATAATGGCTGTCAATTGTTTTGAAGTTTGTGAAAATATTCAGGAAATACCAAACTTAACCCCTCTGTTCATAACATAGACTTGATCGACATGGCCTTGGCTGGATTGTATTTATTATTAAACATCAGAATACATGATTTAATAATCATCATTATTTACATGCGGGTAAATATTTGTTTATGTCGTAAAGTGTATTTAATACACTTAAAGAGGCTGAGGATATTGTTGATGTCTCATACGAGGGCTGGTCAAATATTTCTAAACCTGACTAACTTTCAACTGTGGGCAATAATAAAGGGAACTACTCAAGGTAGTACATTGTTTGAGTAGTTCATTGCAAGTGTATTTGGTTCGTTGGGGCCTTTTGTATATTGTTGAACCTGCTAGGGGTCTAAATGGACACAGAAACGGAAAAGAAAGAGTACCGAGCAGTCATCAAGTATTTTACTTCAGAGAAAAAGTACTCTCCAAGAAATTTATGACCGCATGTCACAAGTGTATGGGTATAAGTGCCCTTGCTATTCCACCGGACGCGTGAAGAATAGGTCTTCAGCAATCCATGCTTGCCGTAAAAGGCGTCTATGCTTGTCATAAAATGCGACTTACGGGATCGGGTGGTCAGGCTCACTGACTTGGTTGATGCATGTCATCGTATCCCAATTGCGTGGATTGATGCTCATGATGTAAATCAATGGATTGTCTGGTCCAGACTCGATTATTTACAGACCGCCGTCATATAGTTGGAATATTGCTGAGTGCGGCGTTAAACAACAAACAAACAAACAAAGCTATTCCACTGTTAAACGTTGGGCATCCGTGTTTAAGACTTGGTGGACAAGGCTTGATGGTGTAACGTCTATAACCGTTTATATTCCCGGGCCGGAAGGGTTGGTGTAACCTCTATTATAGTTTATATTGCCGAGCCGGAAGGGTTGGTGTACACTCTATTATAGTTTATATTGCCGAGCCGGAAGGTTTGGTGTACACTCTATTATAGTTTATATTCCCGAGCCGGAAGGTTTGGTGTACCCTCTATTATAGTTTATATTCCCGAGCCGGAAGGTTTAATGTACACTCTATTATAGTTTATATTCCCGAGCCGGAAGGGTTGGTGTACACTCTAATATAGTTTATATTGCCGAGCCGGAAGGTTTGGTGTACACTCTATTATAGTTTATATTGCCGAGCCGGAAGGTTTGGTGTAGACTCTATTATAGTTTATATTCCCGAGCCGGAAGGTTTGGTGTAGCCTCTATTATAGTTTATATTCCCGAGCCGGAAGGGTTGGTGTATCTTCTATAATAGTTTATATTCTATTATGAAACAATAGACCCGCATATAAGTGGAATTACCCCATTTCACCTCACCTCACCTCACGTTGTCCACCAGTCCCTCGGGTGTCATGGTTCGATGTTACCTATATGTTAGGTTCCTAGCATGATGACCTCGAGACCTCGGCATCAGTCCGGACTAGTACAAGCAGACACACTCACACACGCACGTGCATGCACGTCACTTTATAAGTGCTATAATCTTGGACGCGGCGTTAAACCCAATTTCACGTCACTTCACCTATTAAAATAATATGTGAATAACAAGACCCGCCCCTATCATATCATCTTATTTTAAGATCAACAAAGAGTGGTACTCTGGCACACCTACAATACCAGGAAGTATCATGTATCAGTATTAAGATACTTTAGACATGTTGTAAATTCGGTAATCAAAACATTCGCGTACCTTGATCGGTATTGGAGTCACTACTATTTCATAATGTATGTATTCTACAAAAAAGAGGTCAAAGAACAAGGATGGTTTCATATTACTGATGGGGGGAGGCCCAGCCGTCTAAGGCGCCGCAATTCGCTGTGCAGAGTTGCGTCCCTTGAGCATGCCAGGAATATATGATTGTGGGTTCGAATCCTGGTTCGTCCCGATTATATGCCCGTGCTCGTGGGTTTCAGCTAAGTGATAAACGTCTGAGACCTGCATCACTGCGGGCTTTCCTCCCACATTAAGCTGACACGCCGTGATATAACTGGAATGCTGTTTAAAGCGGCGTTAAACCCAACTCACTCACTCACTCACTATTACTGATGGTTTCATATTAGTTCATCTGGCATGCCATGTCATGCAAAATCCGATTAATTATAGTAATAGGAAAGAATTAAGTGATCTTCATCTTCTTTCGAGTATCAGGGAGACTATACAGAGATCTTTTTCGACTCCCAGTCGCACCACAATGTTGTAAAATGTATTTATGATGTACATGACTTTTGTGTAGATTGAATTGCTATTTGAATATTTTGGCCCGTCTCTCCCAACATAAGCCTTTATGGTAAGCTTTTATCAAGTGAGTGAGTGAGTGAGTATGGTTTTACGCCGCTTTTTAGCATTATTCCAGCAATATCACGGCGGGGGACACCAGAAATGGGCTTCACACATTGTACCCATGTCGGGAATCGAACCCGGGTCTTCGGCGTGACGAGCGAACGCTTTAACCACTAGGCTACCCGACCGCCCCCTTTTATCAAGGTATCAAGGCAAATTATAATATAAATGAGAAGATAAGATCTCCAATGATTGATTGCAGGAGGAACAACCCACGCCGTTGGAGAAGGAAGACGATTCGTTATCCAGATCACACATCACAACAACCCCATGCTGGGCCCACGTTAGTCGTCTATGTGGGAAATGTGATATTATCCACGCCGTCACGATGACACACAACTAACAAGGCCTAACTGTCCGCTCCATTTAGTCGCCTCTTACGAAAACGGAATCCAAGTATGAGAATACTAGGTATAGTGTATGTATAGGTCAACACAAGCATTCCTTTAGGGGTAAGGTGAGGTGAAATTGGGTTTAACGTCGCGTCCAAGATTATTGTACTGATATAGCGACGTGCATGCACGTGTGTATGTGTGTGTGTGTGTGTGTGTGTGTGTGGCTGCTTGTACTAGACCGGACTGATGCCGATTTATAGTGCTAGCCCACTGAGATACCATGCCGCAGTTAAACATGAATACCCCACTCAGACACAGTATACTGACTCCGAGCCGACCAGTCCTTGCTTTAACCCCTTAATGCCGAGCGCAAGACAGGGTAACAACAAGTACCATCTTTTAACGTCTTCTTGTTTGACGCGGCCGGGGATCCAACCCCGGATCTTCCGCTCTCCGGGCGGACGCTCTACCACTAGACCACGGAGGCGGTCGCTTTAGGGGTAAGGGTCGGAGTGGTAGTCTAGTGGTAAATGCGTTTGCCCGTCGAACTGAAGGCCCGAGTCCATCTGGTGTTCTGGTGTTCATCCATGCTCATCACTGACTGGAAGAGTGATGCTGATACAATGTAGAAAATTGTAATTATAGCAATTACGGATCTGAGATCTGAATAGGGCCCTTAAGTAGGTCACGGGACTACGCGAGACCTTACATGGTTTAGTACTTCCGGTGACAAACAACGTTTTTCCAAGACCATGTCTTGTCACAGGCAATA